TAAGAATCTATTTATTTTATCCAAATTCAAATATATCAAAATTTTAAATTGAATATTATACAACAAAAATCAAAATTCTATAAAAATATTTAAATTTAAGCTAAATGGTGGAGAGTTAATTACTAACTTCTTTTTTTTTTTTTAAGTTTCTCCATCACTTAACACCAAGAAATAGTTAATCACAAATTACAAACTAAATGGGAAACTTAATGAAAAAGAAAAAATTATAAAATTTTAATGAAATATAAACAACAAAACAAAAGTACCAAATGAGATGCCTCCTTAAAATACCTTTAATTTCTATTATAAAATCTTGCAAAAAATAAAATTGATATCAATATTAATTGAAACAAACTTGTAAATTGTAAAAGAAATAAACTAATAAGATTAAAATTAAAGGAAAAAAGAAAATGAGAGAAATTTAAGGAGATGAAATTAAAGGAAGGAATGCATGAGAAAAAAGAATGTGAGAAAATGGGAGAGAGAATGAGAGGAATGAACAAAAGCAAAGGGAAAGTGAAGAAAAGAGAAGATGAGAAAAAGGAAGAAATGAAAGAAAATGATGGAAGTAAAGAGAAATAAGGAGGGAAAGTAATTAGAAGGAAGAGAAAGATGAGAAATATGGGTGTGGAAGGTGGCATAAATGGAAAAGCAGAAAGAAGGAAGAAGGAAATGTGTAAAATACAATTTAAAGTGCCTAAAGTGTTTTTATAGGGTTTAGACTATTTCGGTCAAAATTTTTTATCGAAATAGTTTTGGCGGACAATTCAAAATGTTTCACTTGATTTGTGGAGCCAAAACATTAATTTTGGATAAGAATTTTGACTGAAATAATTTTGGTAGAAAATTTAAGAAATTTCATTTAATTCTTGGAGTTAAAACAATATCATTTCGGTCAAGCATCTTGACCGAAATGATTTCTTAGAAAATTAAAAAAAAAAATTAGGAAAGAAAGCGCCATAATAATATAATTAAAAAAATAAGAGAATTATTTCTGTCAAGATGCTTGACTAAAATAATTTTATAGAAAATTAAAAAAAAATTAAGAAAGAGAGTGTTATACTCACTACTAAAATCCTCACTTTCAGCAACATGGAAGCATGTTGTTGAAAGTGCCTTCCATGTTGCTGAAAGTCCTTCAGCAACATGGGTTTGGTTGCTAAAAGTCTTGTTGGAGAAGGTTTGGTGGGTAATACATTACCAACCAAAATCATGTTACTAATATATCAGCAACATAAGCTATGTTGCTGAAAAAAAAGTATCAGCAACATAAGTTATGTTGCTGAAAACTTTCACCGGAATCCGGTGACCGGTGGGGGTGAAATTTCTCACCCCTTTTAGCAACATAGGCCACGTTGCTGAAAAAAAAGTATCAGCAACATAACTTATGTTGCTGATAACTTTCACTGGAATCCGACGACCGGGGGGTGAAATTTCTGACCCTTTTCAGCAACATAAGCCACGTTGCTAAAGATGGAGTTTCAGCAACGTGGCTCATGTTGATGGAGTTTCAGCAACGTGGCTCATGTTGCTAAAAACTTGGGGAAATCTTACCGGCATTTGTTCTCACCGGAATTTTATCAAATTTTCAGCTAGGAAGGCAATGTTGCTGAAACCCTATCTTCAGCAACATATTCCTTGTTGCTGATTACATACTTTCACCAACATGCTCCACATTGGTAAAAAAATGGATGGATTCCCCCCCCCCACACTTCTGATCCATTTTTAGCAAGCAAAGTCACGTTGCTGAAAATAGGGTTTCAGCAACGTGGCTTATCTTGGTAAAAGTTGAGGGGAGAGAGTGGTTTGCACTTTTCAGTAACATATTCTTTGTTGTTGATTGTGTACTTTCACCAACATGCTCCACCTTGGTAAAAAAATGATTGAATTCCTCCCCATTCCCGCTCCATTTTCTCGGTCCATTTTCTACAAGCAAAGCCATGTTGCTAAAACCATATTTTCAGCAACATGCCTCTTGTTGCTAATGTCTATGATAATAAATATAGTACATTAATGTTTTTATCT